AAGGAAAATGACCCAAAAAAGGAAAAAAAGAAAAGAAAAATAAACCCCCACAAAAGTGAAGTGGCCAAAGAAAAGGGAAAATGAACCAAAAAAGGGAAAATAGCAGAAAAAATAAAAGAGGAAAATGAACAAAAATAAAAGGAAAATGACAAAAAAAGGGAAAATGAATCAAAATAAAAGGAAAATGAACCAAAAAATGAAATGAGAAAATAGAAGGAAAATGAACCCCCAAAAAAGGAGAATGACCTTGAACAGGGAAACAAAACAGAATAAAGGAAAATGAACCAGGAAAAAAGGAAAGAAGGAAGAGGACTAAAAATGCAGGAGGAAAAAGGAAAAGATGATGAAAAAAGGGAAAATGAATGGAGGAAAATGGAGCAAAAAAGGAGAAATGGAGAAAAAAAGGAGAAATGGAGGAAAAAAGGAGAAATGGAGGAAAAAAGGAAAAATGGAGAAAAAAAGGAAAAATGGAGGAAAAAAGGAAAAATGGAGGAAAAAAGGAAAAATGGAGAAAAAAAAGGAAAAATGGAGAAAAAAAGGAAAAATGGAGGAAAAAAGGCAAAATGGAGGAAAAAAGGAAAAATGGAGGAAAAAAAAAAGGAAAACAGACCAAAAAAAGGGAAAATGAACCAAGAAAAGGGAAAATGAACCAGAAAAAAAAGGGAAAAAGAACCCCCAAAAAAGGAAAACAGACCAAAAAAAAGGAAAATGGAGACAAAAAGGAAAAATGGAGAAAAAAAAAAGGAAAAATAAATCAAAAAAAAGAAAATGAACCGAGAAAAGGGAAAATGAACCAGAAAAAGAAGGGAAATAGAACCCCAAAAGAAGGAAAACAGACCAAAAAAAGGGAAAACGGACCGAAAAAAAGGGAAAATGGACCAAAAAAAAGGGAAAACACCTCCCAGACCAGGCAAACAACCCAAACCCAGGCGCAAATTGGGCACGGGGCCGTCACTGGCAGAAGGGCGAGGCGGTGGGGTCGAAGCCCTTGAAGACGTCCTTGAGCGAGGCGGCGTCCTCGGGCTGCTGCTGCTGCTCCGTGCCGGGGCTGCCGCCCGCGAAGGGGCTGCCCCCAAAGGGGGCACCGGGGGGCCCGGCTGGGGGGCGACCTCCGGGGGGCTGCGGAGGAGGAGGAGGAGGAGGCCGGGGGGGCTTTGGGCCGGGGCCGGTTGTAGCTGTTGTAGCGGTCGGAGGCGGCGTCGGCCGCGGTTTCGGGCTGCTCAAGGGCCGAGCGGCGGATGAAGAGCGGCTCCTTGGGCTTGGCAGCGGCACTGGCGGTGCTTTTGGGGGGCTCGCCAGGGGGCTCGGAGGCTTTGGGGGCCGCCGGAGGAGTCCTGGGGTCGTAGAGGCTGATGGCGCTCAGCACGCTGCTCTGCCCGCTGCCCTTGGTGAGCAGCCGGGGGTCGTAGGGCGCGATGGCCGGGGCGGCCTCGGTGGTCCCGGGAGTTTCGGGGCTGGGGGCGGCCCTGCAGCCCCCACCCTCGGTGTTTTTGTGCAGGCGGGGGTCGGCGGGGGCTTTGCGCACGCGGGGGTCGCTGGGTTTCTCGCCCCCCGCCACCGTCTTTAGGATGCGCGAGAGGAGCTCGAAGTCGGGAGGCCGCCGGGGTTGGGGGGCGGTGGTGGCGCGGTGGCGGCGGTGGGGTCGGGGGCGCGGTGGGGCCGAGGGTGGAGGCGGGGGTCCGCGAGGACCGGGTCCTGCTTGGGGACGGGCAGGGGGACGAGGTCCTCGGGGGTCCAGAGCACGGAGCGGGCGAAGGGCGGCTTGCTCAGCACCACGGCCTTCTTGATGTGGCTGAACTGCTGCAGCTGCCCCCGGGGGTCCCGCAGCGCTTGGCCGGGCAGCGCCTCCAGGGGGATGCCCAAAGGTTTCTCCCGTAGCGCCCGCTCACCTCCATCCTCCTCCTCGGGGCATCCCCCGCCGGGTTTGGGGCCCCCCGGGGGGAGCTGCTCGGTTTTGGGGCCGTGCCGAGCCAGCCGGGGGTCTGCCGGGATGGTGTCGGTGGGCTCGGCGCCGCCGCCCGCGTCTCCAAGATTTTCATTTTTCGTTTCCTTTTTTTTTTTTTTTTCCTTTTTTTATGTTCACCTTCCCTTTTTTTGGTTCACTTTCCCCTTTTTTTTTGTTCATTTTCCTTTATTTTAACCATTTACCGCCGGCTTTCTCCGCACTGCCCTGTACATAACCCCGCGTGGCCCCCCTGGGATGCGGCGGCTGCTTTGGCTTTTTTGGGGGGAAATCCTCCTGAAAAACGGAAAAAAGAGCAAAAACCACCCCAAAACTTCACCAAGAACCTGGGAATTACATGAAATAAACTCGGGGAGCGGCCGCCAGTGCCGGATTTTTTGCACAGAGCTTTTGTACCATAGCGTTTTGTAAGCGTCCGCGGGGAAAAAATGGGGGAAAAATAACAAAAAAAAGGCAAAAAAAAAAATTGAGGTCGCTTTTGTAATCGTGGGGAGGGGGCCGTCACCGTGTGGTTTGGGGTGTTTTTTTTTTTTTTTAGGAAAATCCCTTTTTAGGCCGTTTTGAGGAGGCAGTGTTCGGCTGCCTGCCGGCCACTTCCGCATCTGGCCCCCTCCCTGAAAAAAAAGGAAGAAAAGCCTCAAAACCACCCCAAAATTTGTATTCTTGGCATTAAATTATTCGGCTCGCTCGCGTTTCCCTCATGTCTGTTCCACCTGCAGGAGCATTTTGGGGCAAAAAAGGGCCCCGACCACGAAAAATCCCCCCTCAAAAAGCATCCAAAAAGGTAAATTTCCAGCCAAAAAGCCTCAAGAAGGTCAAAAAGTGTAAAAAAGAAAAAAAAGGTGAATTCTGAGCTGTAAAGTGGCGTTTTCAGCGCTCGCGATGCCCCGTGCCCTCCGCCTGTACAAAACCCGCGCTTTTTTGTAAAACCCCGTCTTTTTACAACAAAAAGCCCCAAATCAGCATCTTTTTGCAGAGCTTTAACCGAATCCGCGGTTTTTCAAGGTGTAATAAAGTGTAAATAGCGCCGCGGCCGCCCCGTCCGCGCCGTTTTGGGTCGTTTTCTCATTTTTTTGGCATCGTGCTCTTCCGAAATCGGCGTCTCCCGCCTGGCACCCGTTGGCCTTTTCCTCAGGTTTTCAGCCCAAAAATGCCTTGGGGCTTGGGTGCCCCCCCCAGTGGGGTTGGGGGGGGGGTTGGGGGAGGGGGTTTGGGGGAAATGTGTAGGGTTTGGGGAGTTTGTTGGGAATGGGTTTGGGGGGAATCTGTAGGGTTTGGGGGGGGAATTGGCGGGGTTGGGGGAAATTGTGATTTTGGGGGAATCTGTGGGAATTTGGGGGTGGTGGGTTTGGGGAGAATCTGTGGGGTTTGGGGGGAAAGCAAGCGTTTTGGGGGGAATTTGTAGGGTTTTGTGGGAATCTGTGGGGATTTGGGCAGGTGTGGGGAGAATCAGGGGTTTGGGGGAGAATCTGTGGGGTTTTGGGGAAATCCGTGAGGATTTGGGAGTGCCAGGTTTGGGGAGAATCCGTGCGGTTTTGGGGTTCGGAATCGATTCCCAATCCTCCTCGGAGAGCGCTACTGGGAGCTACTGGGAGCTGTCCCCCCCCCTCCCCCCCCCCCCGTCCCCACCCCCACGCGGTCCCAGGGGCACGTGGGGCCGTGGGAAGTCTCCGAGGGGGGGGACGGGGGGGGGGGGCACATCCTGTCCAGATGTGGCCACAGCTGGATCCGGGGGGGGGGCGGGGGGGGGCACAAAGGCGGCAGCGCAGGCTGGCACCGGGGGGGGGGGGGGGGGAAGGGAGGGACAAGGACGGGGGGGGGGGGGGGGCAAAAAAATCCCTGCGGATGCTCCCCCCCCCTCCCCCATTATTTTTTTTTGGGGGGGGGTGACTTCATTTTGGGGGTGCCCCCACTTAGGGGGTGACCCCCCCCAAAAAGATTTTAGGGTGCCCCCACTCTGGGGGGGGGAGGGGTTCCCAATCGTTTTGGGGGGGGACAATCCTTTTCGGGGGGGGGGTCCCAACCAGATGGGGGGGGTCCCAATCATTTGGGGGGGGTCCCAATCATTTTGGGGGGGGGTCCCCCAAATCTGCGCTTTATTAAATAGCAGGTGTGGGGGTGTTATAAAAAGGGGGGTGGGGGGCGCTTAAATATTTGGGGGGGGGTCTCGGGGTGCAGGCGGTGCCGGGGGGGGGTCAGGGGGGGCCGGGGTCCCCTTGCAGCACCCGCTGCTTCGGCAGCCCCCGGAGCTGGGCCAGCAGCTCCCGCACAAAGTCCTGGGGGGGGGGGGGGACAAAAATTAAGGGGGGGGGACACCAAATTCCGCCCCCCCCCTCTCATGTCGCAAGCTGCTGCCAGAGATAAGCAGGGCTGGGAGGGGGGGGGGCGGAAGGGGCCCCCCCGGGACGCGCAGCCCGAATTTTTTTGCCTTTTAAAGCCCGGTTGCAGCAGCCGGGGCTTGGGGGGGGGTGGGGGGGGGGGGGATGCTGGGGAGGCTGCCGGCCCCATAGCCGGCCCCATAAGTGCGGGGCGCCCCCCATCTGCCCCCCCCACCCCCCGCCAATTTTTTAACATCCCCCCCCCCCAAAAAAAAAATACCCCCCCCCAGGGTGCTCACCTGGGTGTCGGCGGTGCACGTCTTCAGGATGCCCTGGGGGGGGGGGGGGGGGGGAAAGGGGTGGAGGGGGCTGAGCACCACACTTGGGGGGTGCCCCATAAGTGCCCCCCCCCAAAAAAAAAAACCCCAAACCTGCAGCCGCTGAGCTCGCTCCTCGTCCGTGGGCAGCTCCAGGAGGTCGTCGATGTTCACCTCGTCCGGCATCTCCGCCTCCTGGGGGGGGGCCCGGCTGTCCCCAAAGCCCCCCCCGTGTCCCCAAACCCCCCCCGTGTCCCCAAAGCCCCCCCCGGTGTCCCCGAGCCCCCCCCTTCGATGTCTCCGGGGTCCCCAAGAGTTCCTATGAGACCTCAACCCCCCCACTGTCCCCAACCCCCCCATAATGTCCCCAACCCCCCCCCCATGTCCCCAACCCCCCCGTGTCCCCAGTCACCCCGCGGGGGGGGTCCCCAACCCCTCTGACACCCCCAACCCCCCCCCCCAACCCCTCTGCGACCCCCCCCCCCACCCGCTCCCATTGGAGGTACCCAAATGGGGGGGGGTCTTGGAGGGGGGGTCCAAGGGGTGCCGGGGGGGGGCTGCTTGTAGGGGATGCCCCAGTGGGGGGGGGGTCCAAGTCCCGGGGGGGGCAAGGGGGAAAGGGGGGTCCCGGGGGAGGGATGCTCTGGTGAAGGATCTTGGGGGGGGGGGGGGGGGGGTCTAGGTTCTGGGGGGGGGGGTCCTGGAGAAGGGGGGGTCCGGGGAGGGGTCCCAGGAGATGGGGGGGGCCGGGGATGGGATGGGGCTATTCGGGGGGGGGGGAGCCGGGGCGGTGAAGATGGGGGGTGTCCTGGGGGGGTTATTCCGGGAGGGGGGGTCCCGAGGTGGGGGGGGGAGTCCCGGAGAGGGGGTCCCGAAGGATGGGAGGGGGGGTTATTGGGGGGGGGGGGCGGGGATGGGGGGGATTATTCCGGATGGGGGGTCCCGGGGTGGGGGTGTCCCTGAGAGGGGGTCCCGGTGGAGGGGGTCCCGGAGATGGGGGGGGCGTTCGGGGGGGGGGGGGTGTCCCGGGGGGGTGGGGTGATGATGGGGGGGGTCCGGGGGGGCGTTATTCCGAGGGGGGGGTCCCAGAGAGGGGGTCCCGGTGGAGAGGGGGTCCCGAAGAGGGGGTCCTGGGGATGGGAGGGGGGCTGTCATGGGGGGGGGGGGTTATCCCGGGGGGGGGTTATCCCGGGGGGGGGGGGGGGGTCTCCTCGGGGGGGGAGCTCCGTACCCGCCCCCGGTAGAGCTCCCCGAGCCTGCCGTCGATCCAGCGCTCGGTGTCGAGGCGCCGCTGGAGCTGGCGCCGATCGTAGCGCACCGTGACCCGAGCCTGGCGCCGGGGGGGGGGCCCGGGGCTGAGCCGGGGGGGTCGAGGCCGGGCCTGAGCCCCCCGAGGCCCCGGGGAGCGGCCGCGCCCCCCCCGCCCCGAGCCGCTCGCGGCCATCGCTGGGGGGGCCCCGCGGAGCCGCCGCCGCCTATAGGAAGGGGGGGGGGGGGGGGGGGGGGGGAGGGAAGGGGGGAGGGGGCGGGGCTTGGGGGGGTGGGGCCGAGGGGGGAGGAGCTTGAGGGGGTGGGGGTTGGGGGGGGCTGTAGGGTCCTGTAGGTCCCTAGAGAGCCCGATAGGTCCTATGCATCCTATAGCGCCCTATAGATCCCCATAGGTCCTATAGCGCCCCACAGCGCACTATAGATCCCATAGAACCCTATAGCAGCCCATTGGTCCCTATAGATCCCCATTAGTCCCTATAGATCCCATAGGTCCTATAGCACCCCATTGGTCCCTATAGATTCCCCATAGGTCCCTATAGAGCCCCATAGGTCCCTATATGTCTCTATAGATCCCGATAGATTCCCACAGATCCCTATAGCCCCCTATAGCCCCCTATAGCCCCCTGTAGCCCCCCGCAGCCCCCTATAGCCCCCTGTAGCCCCCCGCAGCCCCCCGTAGCCCCCCGTAGCCCCCTATAGCCCCCCGTAGCCCCCCGCAGCCCCCTATAGACCCCTGTAGCCCCCCGTAGCCCCCCGTAGCCCCCTATAGCCCCCCGCAGCCCCCCGCAGCCCCCCATAGCCCCCCGTAGCCCCCCGTAGCCCCCTATAGCCCTTCGTAGCCCCCTATAGCCCCCTATAGCCCCCCAAAGCCCCCCATAGCCCCCCATAGCCTCCCGTAGCCCCCCGTAGCCCACCGTAGACCCCTATAGCCCCTATAGCCCCCCATAGCCCCCCATAGCCCCCTGTGGTGTAAATGCCTGTATTTCCCCGGATCCTCCTTCCGGCCCTTCTTGTAGACAGACGTCACGTTTGCTAGTCACCGGGTGACTGGGACCTCCCCTGATAGCCAGGACTGCTGGTCAGTGATGGAAAGCAGCTTGGAGAGCACTTCAGCCAGCTCCCTCAGTAACAACGGGTGGATGCCATCTAGCCCCCTAGACTTGTGCACATCTGAGTGCAGTAGCAGTTTTCTCAACATTTCCTCATGAGAGCTTCATTCTGCTGAAGGTCCTTATCTACCAGCTCAGAGGGCTGAGTACTAGGGGAACAACTGGTCTTGCTGCTAAACACTGAGGTAAAGAATGCATTAAGTACCTCAGCCTTTTCCACATCTCTTCTAATTCTGTTTTCCCACATCCAATAAAGGATGAAGATTCTCTTTTCCCTCCCCTCCCTTCCCTTCCCCTCTGCTCTCCTTTCATTATAAAAACCTTTCTTATTGTCTCTGACAGCAATAGATAGATTGATCTCCGCTAGGGTCTGGCCCTTCCAATTTTGTCCTTGCCCACCCTAACAACATTTAGGACACAGCTTCAGACAAAATGACAGCATACATGAGAAGCACAGAAAAGGTGGAATCTGGCAGCCTTCCATCCACCAGCCTTCTGTGAGTCTGTGCTGCAATTCTGTTCAACTGGTTACTCCTCTACTGTCCACAATATCTACTAACACCTCATTGATGCTATCTTGTGAGAGACAGCACAATCAGGGGGAGCCATCTTCCTGCAGAAATTAACAGATGAAAGAATGGAGCATCTGTCCAGGGGAACCTTGAGAAACTGCAGGATTTTGCCTACAGAAACCTCTTGACATTTACAAGAAGAAAAGCCTCATCCTGCACCAGAGGAAGAGGAACCCCACACATCAGGGCAGACTGGGACCCTGCTGAGTGAGCAGTGCCCAGGAGGAGGAGGGCCTGGGCACCACGAGGGATGCCATACGAGCTCACCAGGAGCTCACCAGGAACCAGGCCAACTTCCTACAGAGCTGCCTTATGAGGAGCATGGCCACCAAGAAAATGTAAGTTACCATGCTCGGCTCCGATCTGATGAGACACCACACAGCCAGCAGGGAAAGAGGTGCAGGTCTGTGAATCTCTTGGACAGCCTGGTGTGGAGAGGAGCAAGCACACTGGAAAGGCTGAAAGTCCCAACAGGCCTGAGGTCTGTGTGTCAATGGCTAGGGCTCTTGTCTCCGACAGCGAGGCCTATGAGGAGGCAGCTTCTTGTTAAAGCACCAGGGTCTCATTGCCTCCTCACCAGCCATGAACCAGGCAGGAGTCGTACCCTTCTCCTGCACTGGGCCATGGACATCCCCATCTCCTACTGCCCAGGAAGAGCCCTGAGCTCCTGTGTGAAGGGAAAGGATCTCCCTTCCCAGGAGCCTGGGGTCAAAGCCTGTTTTTCAATACATCAGTGTCACCTTCACATTTGTCTACCTGTCCTCACTGCCTCCAGTGTTCTGCTCTAATGAGCTCCAAGGGAGGCTGTGTCAGTGCCAGCAGAGTCCCCCCTCAGGGGGACACTGCAGGAAACTTGCATCTGCCTTGGATTTCTTGAGAGATTTCTTCAACGCACTCTCAGTGCCTGAGGTTCATGGGCTCATCGCCAAAGCCCCCAGAGGGCTGATTCCAATGCCTCTGCTGCTGATCTGGGCTGGGCTCCTGGGACAGGGAGAGCTCCTGGCAAGAGGGCCCTGGTGCAGAGAGACAGCTCTGCCCAGGAGCAGCTCCTCTGCACAGCGCAGAAGGGCTGGGGGCTCTGACCCCCATGGGGAGAGGAGAGGAGAGGAGAGAGGGGTTGGAGGCAGTTGGGAGTGGGAGGGTGCTGAGAGCTGCCTGCAGGAGAAACCTGCACAGCCCTTGACAAGGTAAGTCTCTGGCTGCAGGGCCATGCAGCTGCAGCTCCTGGAAGGGTCTCATGCTGGGTCTTGTTTCTGGGAGGGCGGTGGGCAATGCAGTAGGCTGTGAGAGTCCTGCTGGATTGCACTGCGAGGTGAGGAAGTCTGGCAGAAGCCCCTTGGAGTGGCCTAAGCCAGGTGCCCCTGACACCCTAGAAGCCTCGAACACCCTGCTGGTGATGCAGGGCTCTCTCTCAGCTGCCCCATAGCTCCTGCTGCATGGAGGTGCCCCTTGGCAGGGCCCTGGTGGTGGCAGGGTGCTGCAGGGCAGTGCTGAGCACAGCCGCATGGGATGGGGTCTGTGAGCACAGGCGGGGGAAAGAAGAGTTTGGCCAAGATCAGCAGGAACAGAGTGGCCAAGAATCCTCTAGGTACAGCATGTTGTGTGCCTGGGATACTGGAATACCCCAGCGTGTGGATATTCACCTGTCTGTGGGGTGTTTTCCTGGGCTTCAGGCTGCTCTCCAGCAGGATGCAGCTCTCTCGTGGCATCCTTGTGGCATGCAGGCGTCCCAAGGAGAAGACACCTCCTTGCTAAGGCCATGTCCGTGCTGCTGGATGTCTGTCTGTGGGCAGCTGGAGTGAGGCCTCGGCAGCCCTGGCTAGGGGGGAAGAGCTGAGATCCTGCTCAGGCCCCCAGGGCCAAGGTAAGGATTCTGTCCAGCCTCACTCGGACTGGGGCTTCTCTGCTCTCAGCTGTCTCCGTTTTTTTCTCAGCGTAATACGAGTATGATCGGTGTCCTAAGCATTACAGGGGGAATTATAAGAAAATACAGCAAATAAAATCTCTCTTGCTCTACAGTGTGGTCGGATGAGTTGTTTGCAAAAAGACTGCATGGCTCATTGATCTGACAAGTGGACTGCACTTGAGTTTCCCCCATGGTCCTGCTTCCCTCCTGCTGCACAGCAGGAAGGACTCCTCTGGAGCCCACAGCAGCCCCTGCTCCCAGTGTCACACGCAGCCAGCACCACCCAGAGCTCAAGCAAGAGAGCTGCAGAAAGGTTCTCATGCAAAGAGAGAGGCTTATCTGCGGGCTTTCCAGGAGATGAAATAGGTTTTCCTCATTGAAGTCTGTTCTATTTTTTTTTTCTCCTCTTCAAAGATACCTGTGTCCAAAGTCAGCAAATGCCCAACAGCAGCTCTGTGAGCGAGTTCCTCCTGCTGGCATTCGCAGACACGCGCGAGCTGCGGCTCCTGCACTTCGTGCTCTTCCTGGGCATCTCCCTGGCTGCCCTCCTGGCAACGGCCTCATCCTCACCGCCGTAGCCTGCGACCACCGCCTCCACACCCCCATGTACTTCTTCCTCCTCAACCTCGCCCTTCTCGACCTGGGCTGCATCTCCACCACTCTGCCCAAAGGCATGGCCAATGCCCTCTGGGACACCAGGGCCATCTCTTACCACGGGTGTGCTGCACAGGTCTTCTTTTTTGTCTTCTTGGTTGGAGCAGAGTATTCCCTCCTCACCGTCATGGCCTACGACCGCTACGTTGCCATCTGCAAGCCCCTGCACTACGGGAGCCTCCTGGGCAGCAGAGCTTGTGCCCAGATGGCAGCAGCTGCCTGGGGCAGTGGCTTTCTCAGTGCTGTCCTGCACACTGCCAATACATTTTCCCTGTCCCTCTTGTAATACACAATAAATGTTCGTTCATTGTCTTTTGTAAAAACAAGGAGTTCTGTTTGAGGAACGGGAGTTGTGAAAACTCCCTGCTGAAGTAAGGAGCTGTATAATGCTTAGCTAGACACTATGAAAATTCCTTTGCTTAATGTAACAAAAAAGAGAACCCTCTCCCCTTCTCTCCTTCTGCATCTCAGTAGCCTCTTTTGTTCAAAAAACACTGCTGCAAAGTTCATGTAACCATCTCCTGATAAGTTGTTAAACTAGTGTATCAACATCTTGCCTTCCTGTCTCACGCTGGGCCAACATGACCAAATAAAGAAAGAAGTTGAACCACAACGCCGAGGAAGACTACGGCCTTCATCTTCACGACCAGCAGAGGGACAGAGACGACCCCCTAGCAACAGTGCGCGCAGTCGCAGAACATACCCGGACGTGCTGCGTAATCCTGAAATCACCAAGATTCCCCAAGGGAATACACCATCCTGAGGACCTCCTGACTCCTGGGATCAGTCGACGGGCTGAGCCTCTCTTCTCGCCCATTGGGACGCCTTCGGGTGAGATTTGAACACTAGGTTATATCGTGTGTCTCTGCAGAAACTTAGGAATCTCTATAGAGTCTTTGTGCCTTGTAACGCACAAAAAGAACGGAGAGGTCCGGTGTGTACCTCAAGGAGATTTACTACCGGGTGAGAATAGCCCATGAACTGAATTGTACCATGTTAATTAGTATGTTACACTGTATGTTATCACTACCATGATTACTATAGGTGACTAATTAGAATGTATGGAAAAGAGTGTAACCTGAGCATGACATAAATGGTATGGAATAAGGGGTGGATAGATGTCCTGGTTTCAGTTAGAACAGAATTAATTTTCTTCCTAGTAGCTGGTGGAATGCTGTGTTTTGGCTTAGGATGAGAAGAGTGCTGATAACACCCCGATGCTTTAATTGTTGCAGAGCAGTGCTTATACTAAGCCAAGGACATCTCAGCCTTTTGCTCTGTCCTGCCAACGGGCAGGCTGGGGGGTGCAGTAAGAGCTGGGAGGGGACAGAGCCAGGACAGGTGACCCAAACTAGCCAAAGGGGTATTCCATACCATCTGACGTCATGCTAAACAATATATAGGGGTGGCTAGCCGGGGGAAGGGGGCCGGACTGCTCGGGGTTAGGCTGGGCATCGGTCAGCGAGTGGTGAGCAATTGCATTGTGCATCACTTGTTTGTACATACTATTATTACTTTCCTATTATCACCATTGTATCATTATTATTATTATTGTTATTATTATTTTGTTATTATTATTTTCCTGTCTTATTAAACTGTCTTTATCTCAACTCACGGGCTTCACTTTCCATTTCTCTCCCCCGTCCCAGAGAGGGAGGGGGGAGGGTGAGCGAACGGCTGCGTGGTGTTTAGCTGCCGGCTGGGTTAAACCACGACAGGGGGGCTATAGGGGGCAACGGGGGGCTTCGGGGGGCTTCAGGGGGCTGCGGGGGGCTATAGGGGGCTATAGGGGGCTACGGGGGGCTTCAGGGGGCTATAGGGGGCTATAGGGGGCTAGGGGGGCTATAGGAGGCTATAGGGTGCTATGGGGGGCTATTGGGGGCTACGGGGGGCTACGGGGGGCTATGGGTGGCTACGGGGGGCTGTACTCGGCTCTGGTGAGGCTGCACCTCGAGTACTGTGTTCAGTTTTGGGTCCCTCGCTACAAGAAGGACATCGAGGTGCTTGAGCAGGTCCAAAGAAGGGCGACGAAGCTGGTGAGGGGCCTGGAGAACAAGGCCTACGAGGAGCGGCTGAAGGAGCTGGGCTTGTTCAGCCTGGAGAAGAGGAGGCTCAGGGGTGACCTTATCGCTCTTTACAGATACCTTAAAGAAGGCTGTAGAGAGGTGGGGGTTGGCCTGTTCTCCCACGTGCCTGGTGACAGGACGAGGGGGAATGGGCTAAAGTTGCGCCAGGGGAGTTTTAGGTTGGATCTTGGGAAGAACTTCTTTACCGAAAGGGTTGTTAGACACTGGAACAGGCTGCCCAGGGAAGTGGTGGAGTCACCATCCCTGGAAGTCTTTAAAAGACGTTTAGATGTAGAGCTTAGGGATATGGTTTAGTGGGGACTGTTGGCGTTAGGTCAGAGGTTGGACTCGATGATCTTGAGGTCTCTTCCAACCTAGAAATTCTGTGATTCTGTGATTCTGTAACACTGAAAGAACAGTCGGGTGATCAGGCCATTTCAGTAGGTGGTTATCAAAGAGAGGTCCTGCTTGACAAATCTGATCTCCTTCTAAGACAAGGCAATGTGCTCAGTGGACGAAGGAATGGCTGTGGATGTGGTCTACCTAACCCTCCGTAAGGCTTTCGACACCTTTTCTCACAGAATTCTCCCGGAGAAACTGGCTGCTCAAGGCTTGGGCGCATGTATGCTTACCGTTGCGTCCCGCATGTTCGTGGGAAACCCGGTGCTAAATCATTTGTAGACGACCTGATTCTGGGTCAGGGTTCCGTACGTAGCAGAGCAGCTCCCTCGCTGCGATCTATTGAGAGTCAGCCCTTGACACGAGTTTTTGTCACTTTTCGCCCTTGCCACCACCGGGCGGAGGAGGGAAAGGCAAGGGGATGCGGTTGTCACACGCAGACCTGCGCCTGCCTGCCGTTCACTCGTTCCCCCCTCGGGGGAGAACACACTCACTTTTCTCCCTCTTTTCCCTCTTACCCTCTTCCCATCACACGGCCCCACTTCCCCGCTCCACGCGGCATGGATTGGGTCTCTCTCCCGTCTCCTTCCCCGTTTTTTTTTCTCCCCCCCCCCGCCTTCCTGGGTCTGGGTTGACCTGGCGGCTCCGGCTCTCTGTTGGAGAGGGTCCAGAGGAGGGCGACGAAGATGGTGATGGTCCTAGAGGGGAAGACATATGAGGAGCGGCTGAGGGCGCTGGGCCTGTTCAGCCTGGAGAAGAGGAGGCTGAGGGGGGACCTCATCGCAGTCTACAACTTCCTTGCGAGGGGGAGTGGAGAGGCAGGTGACCTATTCTCCGTAATCACCAGTGATAGGACCCGTGGGAAAGGTGTTAAGCTGAGGCAGGGGAAGTTTGGGCTGCACATCAGGAAGAGGTTCTTCACCAAGAGGGTGGTCGCACACTGGAACAGGCTTCCCAGTGAAGTAGTCACTGCACCAAGCCTGTCTGAATTGAAGAAGCGATTGGACTGTGCACTTAGTCACATGGTCTAAACTTTTGGGTAGACCTGTGCGGTGCCAGCAGTTGGACTTGAACGTTATGGGTCCCTTCCAACTCGGGATATTCTACAATTCTACGATTATTTCTTCATTATCTCTAATTCAGGAACGTGTGCAATAGTGCAAAGCCACCTGCAAATTCCTTTCCCACACAAGACCCACAAGGATCATTGAGTTAAACGCCAGGCTCCACACAGAACCGCCCAATATCGGAGAATGTTAGAGCGTTGTGCAAACGCTTGACTTGACTTGACTTCCAGCAGGCTTGGAGCCATGCCCAATGCCCTGGGCAGCTTGTCCCAGTGCCCAACCACCCTTTCAGTGAAAAACCTTTTCCTAACATCCAGCCTCTGCCTCCCCTGTCCCAGCTCCGTGCCGTTCTCTCGGGTCCTGTCACTGTCCCCAGAGAGCAGAGCTCAGCACCTGCCTGTGGTGCAGTTGCCTGAAGTAACTAGGAAAATAAAACTAACATTCACATCTTAAAGAAAATGCACAGCATTGAAAAGGCTTTCAGGGTAGGGCGTAGCTGCATTACCTGAGCATTCCCTAGGCTTCCAACCTTAGATGCTATTGCGCTGGGGGAACCTGGTGTGCTAGCTCTAAGGAACAGCACGGAGCATAGAGTGGAGTGGAGACACCACGGCTAGGCTCTGTGACCAGGTGCGGACTCGATTGTTCCTGTGCACGCTGAGACCGATAAGCTGCACTTTTTGCTACCCTGAGCCAACGACCTGTCATGTTTTGACAAATGCTGTACTCTAATGTACTTTTGCTCATTATAATATCATTAAAATGCCAAAACACACCTCCATCCCAAAAGCTACCTGCTTCCAAGGTGCGACCACCCCTCTCTGAGCATGTGCTCTGAATTTCTCAGAGCCTACTACTTTAAACAGAGACAAGAAACCTTTTCACCAATCCTAACTAAAATATGCTTGACTAGAGTCACTCAAGCTCCACCTCATAAATTGGCCTAAGAGAGAGGGTGTGTCAGGAAAGATACCATTGTTAGGGAAGGTACCATCATTAGGGAAGATACCACCATCAGGGGAGATGCCATCCCAAGGGAATACACCATCCTGAGGACCTCCTGACTCCTGGGATCAGTCGACGGGCTGAGCCTCTCTTCTCGCCCATTGGGACGCCTTTGGGTGAGATTTGAACACTAGGTTATATCGTGTGTCTCTGCGGAAACTTAGGAATCTCTATAGAGTCTTTGTGCCTTGTAACGCGTTCATTTCCAGG